TCCGTCTCATGTCCTCTTTCTTCGTGTCCCGTCCCCCTTTTTAGGACCGCCGTGCAAAATGATTGGCAGCTAATGAGGCGGGCGTGGTTAGGCAAACTGTGGCACGGGCTTGCTTGTCACGGGGTGTTTGTGTGTTTGTATGTGTGACTGGCCATTACAAAAACAGACCAACAGTCTGCAGCTGGGCTGATTTTTCACCCTTCCCCTCACCCCTTCCTGCAACTTTCCCCTCTTTGTGTGCTTTGTGTCTCCGATTGTTTCAAGATGAGTTTTGGTTCGTCCTTCCAGCCCATCAGAGCCAACGTAATCCAGACTTCCTTTTTCTTTGGCGTGTTTGTGTGTGTGTTTGTGGGAAGTAATCTGCATTGGTAACTGTAAACAGATGCACAGAGACAAACACATCGATAGTTTTCACACTTTCCTATTTTCCAACCACACACCTAATGAGTTGGATCTGAGGACACACTGCTAATGCCTCGGTTGGAATAAATAGTGGCTCACACTTGTTCAGATTTCCAGTAGAAATTCTATTTAATCTGTGAAGAATAAGGTAAAAATGTAATGTTCTTATAGCCTTTCATAAAAGTGTAAAGAGTAGAGATGTTTTGCAGGTACTCTTAGAGGATGGATTTAGAGGTTAGCCTGCCTTTCACATATTTCCTGAGGAAATTTCAGAAGTGTTTCCTAACACCTGCTACAGCCGACTCGAACATTATTGTGTATTCAGAGTGATTAAAGAGGAATTTACTTGCTACCTGTGCTCTCCAAATAATTTTCATCCCCTCATGATTGAATTTTCGAGGGTAAATGATAGAGGAGAATACATACAGTCTGATATTCTCAATTATCTTTCCGAGTCTCTTTTGCCCTCTTCCACCTTTCGTTCTCCTTTTGTCTTTGATTAATCTTTGGCACTTAGTGGGATTCATTCTTGTTTAAATGTACATGGATATCGTCCTCACTCTCTGAGGGGTTGTCCTTCCACTTGTAAACCCTAGGTGGCAGTAGTGACCTGCGAGCCACTCCCCGGCTTAAAAGAGGT